CTGGGTGTGGGGGAAGAGATGATGTGGGAAAGAGAAGAGTTCAGTGCTCTTCTGAAAGAGTGTTAAATCTGTGTTTAAAAGTAGTCTGATATAGGTTGACATGACTTCTCCTGCCCTGCCAGCTGCTTGAGCTGGATGACAGGTACTGATGAACCATTGCTCGTCTTCTCTTTCCAGACTGGGAGGGGTGGAAGGCAAATCTGGGAGTGACCACTTTTTACCTGCCATATCTTCAATCTGCAACTGTCTGCAGATGGGGAGGGCTGCCCATGGATCTAGCTGTCTGTCAAAACTCGCCTCCTTCTTGAGTCCCAGCTCATGTTAGAGACAGTGATTGGTGCTTGTCTTCCCTGCTGGGAGTGATGCTCGGTGGGAGGGTAAAGAACACCAGTAGCCTCCACCAATTACTTTCTTTAACTTATCTTGCATTAAATTATTTTAAAAAGTGTCACTCACTAGCCTCATTACTGAACTTAGGACTTAGGAGTTAGAGCAGGAAATGTTCTGTTGATATACTTTTATGTTGGCCCAAGGACTGGTGGACTGTACATTAATGTAGCCATCTGGCTGTGCCCTTAAAAGCATTTGGATTCAAAACCGCATGGTAGTTTAGTTCACTGTTTGATATGGTAGTCTGAAACTGCTACTGTTCTGTACTAAGAAATCACTTTTTTAAGAAAGACTATTCCTTTTTGCCCGTTTCCTACCTTCCATTCCATATCATTACACTTTCTTTATAACTAGTCACAATAAATGGTAAAGGGAGGAAAGCCTTCACAGTGCTTTTCACAGTGCTTTTAACAGACATGGCTGTGGGCTTGATTTATCTCCACGGATTAGTTTGACAGATATGGTCTCATAAAAACTCCAGACAACAAAAGAGCTCACTGTGAGAGCGTATGAGCTAAATTGTTATGAGCAGTACTGAAATCAAGCTAGAATGTGTTTTCCAAAGCTCTACTGCAAAGCTTTTTGCTATTGATATTTCTACAGAAGAAGTGGAATAGAAATTTCTGTAACAGGAGGGTCTGACATACTGATAATTGGGAAGTTTTCTTTCTGCCCCATGCTACTTTGCATATAGTAGATCTTAGTATTTTGAAATTACACAGAACCTAAAAAGGAAGAGTTGTGAAACACACACAAATTAACAATAAAACAGATTTAACCCATTTATTTTTCCAAGCCACTAATATTTAAGGGCTAATAAATAAAATGCAACAGCCAACAAATTGTAAGAAAATGCAACTGCATGCAATATTGAGCTTATGGCACATGTTGCTTTCTTCTGCATGTTCTGTATCATGTCCTCCATTTATAAAAGCGAATGGAGACATTTTTAATTCAGCAATCCTGCCACCAGCTATATGAAAACAGATACAGCATGATTCTTCCACAGGAATCTTGATTTTGAATTTTAAGGATGTTTGCAGTTCAGTCTACAGAGCAAACATGTGCAGATGTATTCCATTTTTTACAGCTCCATGAAACACCTGGAGAATGTTCTTGTTCCATGCATTCCTATACCCATTTTACATCTCCCAGAATTCCCAAGCAACATAGTCCCAGACTGGGGAAAACTACTGTATTCCTATAGTATTCAAGCTACATATTTTTCTACTAAGAAAATATTATTCTTTGACTATGTAGAAATGTCCTACTTTTCATAAATCAGACCTCTATTTAAAAAGTGATCCAAGGTAAATAATAATAATAAACTCATTCAGGAATTTTAGCATTCAGTATGAATGATAAACAAGAAACACAGATTGTCTTTGTAATGAAAATGGTCCCCTCCAAGGGAAATACATTATATTTCAACTAAAGTAACCCTTTGATTTACACTTAGCATGCTAAGCAGATGTGAATCATTTGTGTGTACACAACAATGCAGAGAAAATGGGGAAAGCCTTTGCAGGAGGCAGCTCCTTTAAGGCTCCAAGGTGTGGCATTTTGCTGACACCAGTGTGCTTTGCTGAACGCTCATTCCAAGTGCTTTGCACAGCCCTATTTGCATTAGGAAGCTGAGCTTTGTCAGTGAAGAAGTTTCATAAAAACCGAAAAGCAGTCATTCAGCGCGCCAGTGATTCACAACCTGCTTACCATTCAGTTGACTATGCAAAGTTCTCCAGCAGTGCTGCCTTCAGAGACAATCTAAATGCTGCAGCTGATACCAAATGCAGTTGTGGCAAGACCACCTTTCTCATGTACAATAACATCTATATTAAAGTTGCTACATTCGTAGGCGTCCTGGCCCAATTCAAATTGCTGGTCATTATCTTCAAAGCATCATAGAGCACCCAGATTTATCAGACAATACCTTACTGGAATAGATTCTGCTTCTCTGGTCTGGTCATCTAGAGAGAGCCTGTTGAAAATGTCCCCTCCTTGCAAGTTGGGAGGGGCGTGGAAAAGATAACATGCCTTCTGTGTTATAGTCCCCACCCTGTGGAATTCTCCCCTTGTAAAATATATTCCAGAAATGAGTTAAATCTGTTTTATTTCAGCGAGACTTTGGCCCCAGCTGATTGGTCAAGAACATGTATTTTGGTTTTGTATCAGATTTTATTGCTATGTTGGTTTTCTTTTTTCTTTTCTTGTTTTTGTGTGGATTATTTTTCACTGTATGTTGTGAGAGTCCTTCTGTATTGGGGTAGTTATTAAACAAATATTTTAGATCAGGCAAAAACTTGTTGCATTCATAGCCACATGAGTTGCCCTCTGCACTAACAGCAGGCAGATTATAAACTCCATATGTTATTTGGAGACAAAAATATTTAGTGAAGTATAGTAAAATAATTTGACTAAATGCTTTCCTTGGTAAAGCTTTTATTAAATTCCATTTTCTTTGACAGAAGACTGTGTAGAAATGTATCATGGAATATAATCTCAGGAGTAATTCAAAAGACTGCCTATTGTCCAGTATATTTCAGTTCAATGCATGCCATACGCAATCGTATTTACTGACGATTTCAATACTGATTTATTACATTCCGTTCAAAACAGAACAAATCAAAAGCCTGTTTTAAAAATCTGTTTTGGCAGGCACATGTGGACCAACTTCATAGTCCTCTAGTGTGTTGCCCACCAAAGAATTCTAGCAGTTGCCTGACCAAAAGGTCTAAACCAATGTCTGTTAGATGCTAGACAGCACAAGAGACCGCGAGGCCCTAAATAGTAGAAATGAAAATTTCAGGATTTGCTGCCCTCTTGTGGAGAACTTCACATCGAACATTTCTGCAAACAGCAGGCTCACAAAACTAGCTTTGTATCAAAAGACCCCTTATGACTAGAGTTAGATCATTTTAATTTGTTCTCTCGACAAATCATGGTTAAATTTTGGAGCAGTGATTCTTAACCTGTCAGAGGAATAAATTATTCCAGATATCTTCTCCCCATACCTAAACACCATACTGCCCCAGCTCAAGCTGTTATCCAAGAATTTTTTGTCAAAAGGCCGAATGGAACCTGACCCTCCAGATATTTGCTGACTTTGAGTTTCAGCCTTCCTTCCCCTTGGCCCTCCTGCTGTGTTTGCTAGGAATTATAGTTCAGCAATGTCTGGAGAACTATGCATTCCCTTTCTTATTCTAAATCAAGAACCACGGCTGTAGATGGCCATGTCAGTTCTAGAGAGCAACTTCACACCAGCAGCATTGGGACATGACAAAAAATGGTCCCCCTGAATTCATTAATGAATGTTTTTACTATGTCAGATTCAGATTATGGGGTTACAAATTGATTAGAAAACATTGCATAGAATACTGATAACGAACAGATACTAATTTACCATATAACATGGAATGATCACGTTTTGAGGCAATAGGCCACTGAATTGCTGGGATTCAGGAGTGGGGAAAAATGTGTAACCCCGGGCCTGCTTTTGTATTTTCTATGTTTTTGTTTAAGTACAGCTAGGAAGCCAAGTGTTAATTCTTGGGTCATGGTGGTTCAAGTTGACAGGAATTGAAATCCAAGACATCTGGAGGACAGGAATTTAGGGAAGGCTATTCTAACATGTTGGCAGTGTGTCTAGAAATGTAGCTTAAATTTTCATTCTTTATTTTTAGATATTTTTGCTATATTTGCTCCTGAGTAGTTAGAAAAAAGGATAGAGATATACAAATGTCTTTACAACACTTTGTAACAAACACTTTGAGGTGCTGATTTGGAAAAGATTGTTCCAGAGTTATGTCATATCCCTAATACACAAGCTTACTTTACACATTATGCTAAACCATAATCTGATTTGCTTGTTTTTGCCTTAGTGTGATATATAAACCTGATGTATAAACCCCACCATTATAGTTCAGTACTAAGTGGGAATCAGAGTATTGTAGCTTGGTGAACATTTTGTTTTTTTACCAATACTGGCTTAGCATTTAGTGCAAACAGGCATACAGGCCATACAGGTTTAGAACTGATATATTCTCAGAGGCCAAGCAATGGCATTGCCTTTATCTAAATCTTTCAGCCTTTCACTACAGTTCAGACAAGATGCTCTAATTTCTTCAAATCCATATTGCAATATATCAGAGTGACTGAACAATAACATCATATTCAAAGCCAAGCAATTAATACATTCAGATAAAATAAACTTGCCTTAATTTTGGAGGCTCTTAACTAAGCAAATAAGGAAAGGCAAACATTGTACATTTAGCTACACTGTAGATGATAATCCTCTATATTTGTTCTTGACGATAGTCTCTTATTTTAAGCATATGGTTGCAACCACTTAGGTTTAATGTTAAATTATGACAAAGGAAAAAAAAAGACTTAGAAGCATGGCTTATGAAAGGATTTATTTATTTCATGTAAGATCAGAGATGTATATGGTGTTTTTATTTTTTTGCTTTGTTTAAGTATAGTTTTCCAGGTCAGGTTAATAGGATTTCTCCCCTTGAATGAGAGGAGAAGGAAAAAATAGCAAGGATTGATTCATTTAGGCCTATAAGATCACTGGTTTACATTTGTCCAATTGTATACAGCAATAAAATACATTATTCCAATTCAGTCCATGACAGGGGCCGTTTCCTACAAGGAGGCTGATGGGAAAGAATCTCCAGAAGGTACTGCTCACATTTGGTACAGATGTCCATGGAAGGCCAATCCATCATACTTTTCATGCAGCAGGCAAGGGGTGGTATTAAGCGATGGGGTTCAAACACAAGAGGTACTCTGGAAGTTATGACAAGAATCCAGATTACTTTCAAATATACTTTTCTCATGCCTTTACACATTTTGAATACCTAGTAAGGCTGTGTACATTTAAAAAATGTTCTGGAGGAAATGTGTGAGTACATGTGTGCAGGCTACCTCTCTTCTCTTCATTCAAATAGGCATAGTTTCCACACAAGTCTGAAAAAAGAGACAGGTGCTGTATATACACAAGATGTCCACAACATTTCTTCCAAATCATTTAGGGATAATTATACTATAATTACT